AGCTTTCCCAGAAACTGTCTTCAAGCCGAGATAACGAGCCGCAAGATAAATCAGGAACAGAGGGCTTCTTCAAAGCTGCGCAGTAACTAACGAAGTTTGATCCGGACAAGGACCGTTAACTAACACGCCTCCTTATATTCCTTGAAGGGGCGTGTCAGTCTCTCTAATTAGTCTCTGACTTGACGTTTCTTTTCAAATTGTGCTTGACGTCTCAACCTGCGTCTAGTCCTTGCATCAACCCAACATTCGTCATCACTCAAGGACTCTGGTATGTTCTGTGGATCAGCTGCTGACACCTGAGGCATGATTGAAGTGGAAGGTTCTGGAGAGGATGGTGTTTCCGACACTCCCTCATCCTCCTGGCTCACGTCTGCATCTCTCACCAGAGCAGGCTCTAATTCCAATGCCAAACCTTCCTCATCACTCGAACCTGTGTCTTCTGATACATCAGACTCAAAGCTCACAGCAGGCTCAAACCTTCCAGTCACAACACAATAATATATAAAAAGGAACAAACAGATATGGTGAGACATTGAATGAAAAGGCTGAACTTAAATCTATGCAAAAACTAGAGGAACAAGGTATAAAAATGAATTGGTTTTCATATTTGCAAATACAATCTAGATTTGATAAAGATGTTAAAACAGAAGGTATCTATGATAAGTTGACTGATTTAGATAAAATTTTGACAGGTACTGATGAAAAAGTAATCAAAAAACTTTATGGACATTTGCTAGAGTTTAAATTAGAGGAAGAACAAGTAAAAGAAACAATGATTGCTTGGGGGAAGAATTTTGGATATGGGATTGATCTAGAGAAATGGTAAAAATTGTGGTCTCAAAATTATAAAATGACAATGTCAACTGCATATAAAGAAAATTTGTATAAGATGTTTTACAGGTGGCACTTACCCCCAGCGAGAATTGCAAGGATGTTCAAGAATAAATCGGATAAATGTTGGAAATGTCATCAGATACCTAGTTCATATTACTATATGTGGTGGACATGCTTGGATGCAAAAAGATACTGGACTATAATCCACACATGGTTGGAAAAAATGACAAAACAATACATAGACTTTAAACCTGAGATATTTTTTATTGGGAATTATACCAGAAATATATTGTAAAGAATTGAAATATTTGATTGTAAATGTTTTAACAATGGCTAGAATTGTATTTGCTAAGAATTGGAAAAATGAAAAAATACCTATGCAGGAGGAAATTATTAAGAAAATCATGGACTGTGCCGAAATGAGTAAATTGACATTTGAAATTAGAGAACAAGAGGATAAACAATTTTATATGATATAGGATTTATTTTATCAATGGCTAGGTAAAAAGACATGGTAAAGAAATAGATTAGTAAGCCTTACAATAAAAGTTAATAGACTGATAAAGAATACAATATAAAATATATAACCATTGGATGAATGTATAAGATTAAATCATAATGAAAATTAGAATATCTTGTATAAAATGATGGAAAAATAGTCAGAAGGTGAGAATTTATATAACTTGTGAGTAATGGTAAAAAAAGGATAGCACAAAAGATTGTAACCAACTGACACACTGTATGTATATAATTGAAAGAGGGTTTTATGTTTTTATGTTTTGTTCGTATGTTTGTTGTAAAAAATAAAAACTTTGGGGGAAAAAAAAGAACCCAGAATCCTAATACAGCAGACTTTGTTGAACCCTTCACCATCCCAATTTGCTATGCTCCAAAATTTTTATTATTAGGGCTAGCTGGTTTTGCACGATGTTATTTTCCACACTTTCCTTTTGCTAAGGTTCCCAAGACTGAAGTCACCTCTTTTAAGTATGTAGTCAAATTTAATTGTATGTCCATTAGCTCCCAGAGTGCCTTCCTCCACCTACGTGTTGGCCCTTTTAGAGTTTCAAGCATCCAGGGGCATCACTGGTATCTAGGGATTCAAGGGCTCTTTGCTTTCCAAGCCTGAATTCATTCCTTCGATAGGGATTCCCCTATGTTGCTTTATGAATCTCATTACACAGGGTCCAAACCACCCAGTGAGGAGGCTAGTATAGGCATATTTTTCACATTCCTTATACATAACTTCTGGGGTAGTCCAGTTGCTATTATTTGCTTCATGATTCTTACAATAACACACTTCACTACTAGTCACATTTTTTATTAGAACTTCACTCAGTCCAGTCCCATTGGGCAAAACACAATAGCCACCCACAATCCAAATTTGTTGGATTCCATTCATCTCCCATATTTGATTCCACTCTCATACACAAGAGCACACAAAGGTCTTGTTGAAGCTATTTTAGACAATTTGTTCCTTCCTTCTTCCTGTTGCACGGTGTTAAGGTTCTTTCGACACCAAGCTGACTTGCAGTAAGTTATACTTATATATCTGCAAAAATGCTTTTTCCTGTAATAGGTTGCACAGAGAGCTTATATTTCTACTAGTTATATTTTAAGCTCAGCATTTTTCCTAAATTCTTATATTTTGCTTTACAAATTAATATTCATCTCCCAACTCTGGCTATTGATACTGGAGTTAGCTTTTCCCATTTATTAGGGGCTAGTTGCAATCACACTGTTGGTCTTGGTTTTGGTCGTGTTGCTTTTTCAAGGTTCCTAAATTGTTCACGTGTTCTTAGTCCACTTTGGTCCCATTAAAAGTTTGACACAAAGTTTCTCTCCTTCCTTTCTATTGAAAGTCCTCACTCAATGTAATTTCCCAACTCTCACCATCCAAACATTCAGTATTTACTTCAGTCTCAAGACAATTATAAGATCAGTACATCAGGTAAATTTAGCAGTGGGATTTGTTCTGTGGTTGTTATTTTATGTTGGGGAAATAACATTGGCAACCACTCAGTCGTAAATAGAAAAGGAATGTACAGTTTCTTCCTTCCAGGATTTTATCAAAACCCACTGTCCTGCCTTAAATTTATGTACAACAAAGTCCAAGGTGGTGTTTGTGCAAGTATCCCTTTTTGTCTTAAAAGAGAAAGAGACTGGGACAATTCAAGAATATATTTTCTCACAATTTTGTCTGTTAACTCAGTTCTAGGCAAACCCTCCTTCCCACAGTATGGCATCCCCAACAACATCTCATCTCTCCTTCCACTACTTTGGCACTTCCATCTATAAAGTAACGCTACACAATCATGTTGGTCTCCTTCGCTTATTCCCTCTCTCATCAAGAATTGAGCAAGGTTCACATGATTGCTTATGGAGAGGACCAAATTAGGGTCTTCTATGAGGATTCCCTCATACTTTAGGATACGAGAATTGGTTAACCATCTCTGAGCTCATTGAGGCAGGATGTTCCTGATCTGATGTTGGGTTGTAACCACCAAAGCCCTCTCCCCAAATGTGGGGTTTCTTCTTTCTTGTACTAAGAGAGCTGTGGCAGCAATAGCTTGAATACACACTGGCCTCCCCCATTAATTTGGATAGGAAGGCTACTGGTTTTAAGAGACTTCCCCATATTTTTTTTTTGAGCTAAGAACCCTTTTTGTGACTCCATCACAGACTGTTACAAATAAGTGGAAAGGTTGTTTTTTTCCCCCATCAGGTAGTGAGAGAACTGGAGCTGTTCTAAGTGCTGTTTTTAATTTTTCCATAGCTTCTAGGTCAGCTGAAGTTAATTGTGGTTTCCATGGTTCAGTATCAAGCAATTTAGTATAAAGGGGCACCACTATTTCAGTAAAGTCCATTATCCAGTGTCCACCATTGCCTAACAGTCCCAAAAACTTTCTCAAGTCTCTTAGTTCCTCAATTCTAGCAGGAGTTATTTTTCTACTCCCTTCACTAATCAAGTGTCCAAGATATTTGATCTCTCTCTACATACTATAATTTTAAATTTGATGTGGCATGGGTTGATTTTTATTTTTTGATTTTGAAATTTGAATTCTGGCTAATGTGGCATCCCAGAGGGATTATGCTTCAAGATGTCCAGGATGCCCCAGTATCCACTAAAAATTCAATTTCGCAATTTCTTGGTCCCACTTGCAATTTTATCCAGTGTTCTTGGTGGAACCTCAGATGCAATGACTCCTGACATATTTTATTTTTTTATCATCAAATTTTCTCTGTTCCTCCCTCTCTCTCTAGCTTTAGTAAATCACACACATTTCTCCATGAGAGCTTTCTCATTTCCTCGTACATGCAATTTCTTTATATGAAAGTACTCTCCTTTTAATCTGGGATGGGGGTCAACACACAGACATTTACACCAATGTTTTTTTTCCCTCATCATCAACATACTCACACATTTATACTGTAATCAGACTGCTTGCATAACCAATTTATCACACACAAAAATCATTTCATTCTTTCTCCAAGCAAATCAATCATTACTTACAATTCTTTTCTGAGAGCTTTTTCTCACAAGCCAATGAGCTCCATTTTATTTTTATTTTTTTACTGTTGTTAGAGGGTCTCATCCTCCAGGTTTGGAAATGATTACACACAGACACATTCACACACACACAACATTTCCAGACCTGGGGAGGTTTTGTCCCTTTAAATCTCCACTTTTTCTTTCTTTAGCAATGGGTTGTTGCCACTTCCCTTTTTCTTGAGTCAGGACTCCAAGAGCCATATTATTCTTTAAGTCCACATACAAATTGAAAGATTTCTCAAGATTGGGAAGTCCCATAACAGGAGCTTGAGATGCTATTTTTTTAAAAATCTCAAAAACCTGTTTTTGTTCACACAGCCAAACAAAGGGTTCCTTTTCTCCCCCCTTTGTGGACTCATAGAGTGATTTGGCTAGCAGGGCAAAATTTCTACAATAGCCTGCTGCTTAAAAAACTCCTGTCAGTTGGTTCTGTAATTCGGCACACAGCTTTCTTTTTCTCATGTCCTATAGCTCTGTGGCCTTGACTTATGGTATAACCTAAGTATTTAACTTGGGGTTTCACTAATTGGGCTTTCTTTCTTATTGCTTTAGTGAACTTCTCACTTTTACTTGAAGTTACACTCATTGTTAAGCACTAGATTTTTACTACCTGTCTCTGCCCTGGGTGTTCTGTCCCTTATCTTTCTAGTTTGGATCTCCCAGCCGACGCTGGCTTATTTTTAAAGATCCAAATTGTTCTCTATCTATCTTAGAATCTGCCAGCGGATGCTGGCTTATTTTTAAAGATCAAGATCTATAGAGACCTTCGTTCACACATCGTTTGCACCTGGCCAGGGCTCTCATGAGCAAGTTTGAACTCCACTTTTTTTTTTTTTTGGTAAATTGTATTGGTTTTTAAAAGACAAACAAAAACAAACAAATCATAAAAACATCCAACTTTCTTCCATAAATGTACAGTGTGTCGGTTGGTTTACAATTTTTTTGTGCATCCATTTCATAGTCTCAATTACAGTTACATTGCATAATAACTCATATTTTCAATCAAAAATTGAATACCCTAGTATCATTATTAATTAATCATTTGACTATAATTTTGTTCATTCATACTTTGCGAGATAACTATAATTTACTTAGTTTATTTTATAACAATTCATATAATCCTCCCAAATCTATCCTATAAACATTTTATAGATATAATAACAAAAAAAAGAAAGGAAATACATCTTTATATATTCATTGTTTTCTAAAATTCTACATATTTTAATATTATATTTTATTATCTAACCATTGATAGAAAACCACTTTTCTTTTTAAAGACAACTTTTTTACTGTTTAACGTGTCCCAATGGGCTCCACGGAGAACATGGCCCTAATCTTACCAGTTCCAGATAGACACTCCTATGCATGTTTCCAAATATAACACTAACCTTACCTATTTCTCAGTCCTTAAGGAGTTTCACATTTCTTCTTCTTTAGTCAAAAGTGTTCTATTGCTCGAACAAAGCAGACTTGAGACCGGAGTTGAATTCAGCTCTTTATTCAATAACCAAGTAACTTCAACTAAAGTCGAGCCATGGCACCCCTTTTAATAGCAGCTGCTCGCGGCTCGCAACCAATGGCGTTTATTTAAACTTCCCGCCGCTTAGGCGGCCAATCAGGTTTGTTGTTATCGACCAATCGCCCAGCGATGGTATCTGTCCAATAGGAATGCAGTATTACAAGTCTGTAAAACAAGTACACTACACCCCTCCCCTCTTGGTTTGATCTAACGTTACGTGACGTAGTCGCGTAAAGAGGCGGGGCTTCTGTGTGTCCTAGTTGACCTGCGCAGTTCAGTCTCTGCGTTCTCCTCGGCCGGTTCGGTCAGGCCCACCGTCTTCCCCGTTGTTCTCTTTGGAACCTCCTGGAAGGATGACTCAGCCATGCCGCTCCCGCCGTGCCTCCTTGGGTTTGTTGGATGGGCGCTGTTGTTCTCTTCGGATGTGTGCAAGTTGGTCGAGTCGGCTTGGCTGCTCCTTTCCTGGATTTCCTTCAGCTGTCTTCTTTGGACTTCGTCTGTTGGTAAGTAGTTTTTATTTCTTTGTGGGTTTTCCGTTTCTGGTTGTTGGTTTGTTAAAGGGGAGTTTTCCTTTCCTTTATTATTTAAAGGTGTCCCCCCCACTAGTTTTGTAATTATTGGTCGTTTGTTCTTGTGGGTATGCCTTTTCTATGCTTTGGGGCGTGTCGGTGTTTCGTTCGATGTATTGAGACCATAATTGATCAATGTGTCGCTTCCACGATCTGCCGTCTAATGTTTCTAGCCGATATTCGTGGGCCCGTAATTTGTGTAATTGTGGCCGGTAGCCACAACGGTTCTCCGGTAAGATTTTTTGCGTATACCAGGTCGCCTGGTATAAACATGTGGTACTTACTTGAGGAGTCTGGTGGTTTTTCAGGGTTGTAAGTTGGGTGCAGTCTGTCCAAAAATGAGTGCAATTTTCTGCCCATTAACAGTTCAGCTGGGCTCTTCTTTGTTGATGTGCATGGTGTTATATGTTGGATGGTGAGCATGGTGTTGATTTTGTCTTGCATGTCGCCTCCCTCGATTTTTTCTAATGCTTCTTTCATGTAACGAACCATGCGTTTTGCCCTTCCGTTCACCGCTGGATGAGCTGGCGCTGTCAGAGCATGTCGTATTCCTTGCTCTGTGAGGAATTGTTTGAAAGTTAAAGCTGTAAACTGTGCCCCATTGTCCGATACTACTACATCTGGTAGACCGTGGGTGGCGAAAAGTTTTCTTAGTTGTTTGGTGACAGCTTCAGTCGTTGCTGAACTCATGATGCAGACTTCTAACCAGTTCGAGTATGCATCAACTATGGTTAAATATGTATACCCCTTTGTAGGTCCAGCGAAGTCTATGTTGATCCTTGACCAGGGGCCTCTGAGTGTCTCCCAGTCAAGGATCGGTGCTAAAGGGGGGGTAGGTCTGGACAACTGACACATGTGGCAGGTTCTTACCCAGTTTTCGATGTCCTTGTCAATTCCTGGCCACCAGACGTAGCTTCTGGCCAGGGACTTCATTTTCACCATGCCAGGGTATCCCTCATGTAGCATATTCAGTACATCTTCTTTTAATTTTTGTGGAACAACTACTCTATCCCCCCACAAAATGCATCCTTTTTCAATTGACAGTTCAGTTTGGCAGTTTTTGAACGGTTTAAAGGTCTCGGTTTTTTCATTTTCTGGCCAACCCCTCCCTACCCAGTTCAGGATTCGGGCCAATTGTGCATCTTTAGCGGTTTCTCTTGCGATGTCCGATGCAGTGAGTGGTAGGTTTGATATCGTTTCAATTTGCAGGGTGCTTGTTGTGGGCGCCAGGTCATCATCGTGGTCTGGTAAGGGTGAGCGGCTTAATGCATCGGCGTGGGGTATAGCTTTTCCCGGCCGATAGATGAGTTTGTAATTGTAGGCTGCCAGGAATTCCGACCACCTTGTCATTCTTGGAGACAGGATGTTTGGAGTGGCCCTGTCTCCCGCCAGGATTCCAAGTAGTGGCTTGTGGTCGGTAATTAAAGAAAATGTTCTTCCATAAAGGTATTTGTGAAAGCGTTTTACCCCCGAGATGGCAGCCAAAGCTTCTCTATCCAATTGACTGTAGTTTCTTTCAGCTTTGGATAGTGTTTTGGAATAAAAAGCGATCGGTGCTTCTCTGCCATCAGGGAGTGTGTGGCTCAGTATTGCGCCTACGCCGAATGGTGAAGCATCGCAAGTGACAGTTAGTGGAAGCGTGTTGCTATATTGGATCAATACTGATTTAGATGTAATTAAGTCTTTAATTCTTTGGAACGCAGCCTCTTCTTGTCGACCCCATTTCCAAACAGCCTTTTTATCGAGTAGTCTATGCAGTGGTTCCGCAATGGTTGCCTTCTGCGGCAAAAAAACATTATAAAAATTAATGAGTCCTAAGAAAGCCTGTAAATCCGTTTTGTTTTTGGGTCTGGGTGCTTCTTTAATTGCTCGTATTTTTTTTGGTGTGGGGTGGATTCCTGCTTCATCAATAAGATAGCCCAGGAATTCCACCTGATTCGTGGCGAGTTGGCATTTTTCTTTTTTGACTTTTAATCCTGTTTCTCTAAGCTTTTGCAAAACTGCCCGCAGCCGGTCCTTTAGTTGTTTTTTATTTCTGGCTGATATTAATACATCATCGAAATAGGGAACTACTCCTTTTAGTCCCTGAAGGAGGCGTTCCATCAGGCTTTGGAACACACCGGGGGCTACGCTGACACCAAATTGTAATCTGTTGCATTTGAAAGCCCCCCTGTGCGTTACGATAGTCTGTGCCTCTGCCGTCTCGCAATCAACTGGCAATTGTTGATATGCCTGTGCGAGATCGAGTTTTGCAAAAAATTTCCTCCCCCCAATGAATGCAAAAGATGTTGGACTATGGGGACGGGGTATGCGCTCTGCTGTAATGCGTGGTTCAGGGTGGCCTTATAGTCACCGCAGATGCGCACGGACCCATCTGGTTTCACGGGAGTCACAATCGGGGTTTCCCATCTGGCATGGTCGACTGGCTCTAACACCCCTTGCGCGATGAGTTTGTTCAGTTGCTCATCGATCTTTGGCTTTAACGCAAAAGGAACGCGTCTGGCTTTTAATCTGATGGGGGCTATTTTCGGGTTTAGGCTAAACGAAATAGGGGTCCCACAGTACTTGCCTAAAGTTCCGTCAAAAACGTCTCGGAATTCCTCCATCAGGTCTTTTTCCCAGTCTGTTTCAGCAATGCTGTTGATCCCTGTCACTTCGATTCCCAATGGCGTGAACCATTCTAAACCGAGCAGGCTTGGGCGGTCTAAGTCAACGATGGTCAGTGGCAGAATTTCAATATGTTTCTTGAAATTTACCTTGAAGTGTCCCAATCCGACTACCGGAATTCTATTTCCTTGGTAATCCTTTAACGTTAGACTTTGCTCTTCAAGTTCCTTCCGTCGTATGTCTGGTATCAAGTTTTTTATTGTGTTCCATGATACCATTGACAAATACGAACCGGAGTCCACTTCCATTTTGCAGGGCTTCCCTTCTATCTTGACATTTACTCGAACCTTTTTAGCAACTGTTGCTCTGGCGTTCCCGATAATAAGTGTCTGGTGTGTTTCTTCCTTCTCATGGAGTCGCTGGCTTCTATTTTCTTTGTTCCATCAACTTCCGGTTTGCTTCTCCTTAGTTCTGGGGGGGGGGGTACTGCCTCTCCTCTTTGGACTATAGCTCTTTTTGTTTTGGCAGACCCTTGCAATGTGCCCCCGTTTTTCACAATGCCTACAGATGGCATCTAAGAAACGGCACTCCGAACGTGGGTGATTTCCTTCGCATCCTGCACATTGGAAATCAGGTTTCCTACTTCTCCTTTCTTGTCGTTTTCGCTCTGATTGGAGTCTGTTTACCTCCTCATCGTCTTCCTCAGAGTCGGTTGATGACTCGATGTCTTCATGGTGGGTAGTTGCGGTGTTTCTGGGTACCTTCCGCCTTCTTTTCTCTACTCTGGGTTGGGCTGTTTGCTGTATTCATCTGTTTCATTTTTGCCACGGATTTTTTTGCTGCTTCGGCTGCGGTTGCTTCAGCGACGGCTTCATTTACGGTAATATTGGGTTGGTTTAGTAGTTTGCTCTGCAGGATGGCATCTCTCAATCCGAGGACTATACGATCCCTCATGGCTTCATCCATGTTGAGGAACTCGCATGCCCCCCCAATGTCCCTTAGTGCTGCTACAAAGTCACCAATACTCTCGGGTTCTTGTTGATCCCGTTTGTAAAACTCGTGTCTTCGAATGAGGTTGGACACGACAGGCGCGTAATGGTTTCTCAGCATTCGGTTCAGGTCTGGCCATGCCATTTGTTTGACGTCGTTTGGTCTTGCCAATGCCTTTGCCATCTTAAAAACGGTCGGGCCACAATGTGTCAGGAATACGGCTCTCTTCCTCTGGTCAGTGATTCCTTGTAGTTCGTTGCTTTCCAGGAACATCAGGAACCTGTCGATATAGGATTCTCAGTCTTCTTCGGCTGGGTTGAACGGTGCGGGTGGCGAATTGTTGCCGGCCATCTCGTTGGTTTCTCGGCTTCTTTGCCACGTGCTATGGTCTTTGTTCCTTCGATCCCACCCTCGTCGCCAGTGTTCTATTGCTCGAACAAAGCAGACTTGAGACTGGAGTTGAATTCAGCTCTTTATTCAATAACCAAGTAACTTCAACTAAAGTCGAGCTGCGGCAGCCCTTTTTATAGCGTCTGCTCGTGGCTCGCAACCAATGGCGTTTATTTAAACTTCCCGCAGCTTAGGCGGCCAATCAGGTTTGTTGTTATCGACCAATCGCCCAGCGATGGTATCTGTCCAATAGGAATGCAGTATTACAAGTCTGTAAAACAAGTACACTACACAAAGCATTTTACTATCTGCTGGGGGCTCAGGTATTTCCTAATTTACGAAATACCAGGGTTTAAGATACGGTATTTCAATTTTTTTAAAGGTAGGTCTCTTGATTAAGTATTGTTCTAATTTACCCAACCAACATTTGCTTGTTTTCCCCCAGATGATCCTACCTGTATTGTGGTTCCTCAATTATGTATTTTGCCATTTTTCAATGCACAAATTTATCATTCTGTTCTTACTTAAACTTTTAGTCCAGGGGAGTAGGTTTTCCTCACTCCACTGGCTTAATAACTGCTCTAAAGGGTATTTTCATGCTCTTACGTGTTAGAGTCACCCCTAAGGGTTCGCTCTACCTCCTGCAGCAAGAAAGTTAGCTGCAACAAATACAAGAATGCCCCATTCTTGTTGAGATTCCCTCACCTGTGTAACTGCCCCTCCTCTTTGTCTTGAATTGCTTGTGCAAAGGGGCGAGGGTAACTTCTCTGCTGGAGACAAACAGGTGCTTCCAGAGGCTTCACTTGAATGACTAGTGGTATATGGTGCACTGCATATCCTGGCGAATTACCTTTTGCCCATAATTGGTGCACATCAAACTCCTGCCAAGTATCAAGGACTCAAACCTCTTGGGCCACCATTACTTGCCACATCTCATTTGGAGAATGCCTCATGACTAGTGCCATTTTATCTTCCTCAAATGACAAAGTTGCCCCCATTTTGCATAACATGTCCCAGCCCAATAAGGGAATGGGACATTCGGGCATGTATTGGAATTGATGTTCAATGTCCCTTCTATTCAGGGAACATCTCAGGGGCTTTAGAAAAGGGTGGGGATTTACAGAGCCATTAACCCCTTGTATATTTATAACATCAGCACAAAAGGGGAGCCAACAACTTAATAATTACAAATCTAGATGCCCCCTATCT